GCAACTTAGCTGTTCCCCTTCCCCCAATTCCCCAGTGCTATTCCCATCCCCCTAATTCCCCAATAAAAATCTTTAAAAAACAAAACAAAACAAAACAAAAACCTTATTTCCTATTTTATTTAAACAAAATTTGGAGAATCCAATAATAGGATTGTTTTTTTCTGTATATAATTGCCACATGACAAATGATCTACATTTTGTAAATGATTGCTTTACTGAGGCTGACCCTTTTCCTCTTTCCAACTTGAAAAAAATAACTATTTAAAAACATTCAAGAGAGCTTTAGTTCAGTGTATACTACATTAGGTGTTCACTCTACGGTAGAGATTCTGAATTCTAATTCTACTTCTAGTGGTGTTCAAAAACTACTACCTAATAGTGGAAACTTAATCAAGTTACTACTCTCTCTGAACCTTAGTTCTCATTTTCTTAAGATGACTCCACCGAATTAGACAATGGGTGAGATCTATTTCATTTTACCACTGACATTCTTTAATTTGGTTCTCTTACAGATAACTGTACTTCCTTTACCTCTCCTTGAAGAATTAGGGTCACAAGAAATCATTAGTATTCAATACGAACCTCCATCAAGGCTCCGGGATGCCCGTTTGCTTGCTGTACGCTCAAAGTGTGGGGCAGGCCTGTCAATCAGCGCACTGGCTTGCCTGGTCTGAGCCTGGGTTCGGCCACTGTATCGAAATTTGGATCCCAGTGCAAGAAATTTGCTTTTAGGAATGGTGTCTGTAGATGTAAGTCTGGGGGGGAAAAAAACCAAATCCATAATAATGATATATTATATATATCATCTCGCTCTAATGAGATTGTGAGATTAAAGACAAAATCAAGAGTTAATAAAGTTTCAAAATTCCCACAGTTTCTTTATAGTTACTAAGACAGATTTCCAATCAAGCAATCATTATTTTAATTCTATGTCATTTCTCAAAGTAACATGTATAATTTACGTGGCGTATATTAATAATATCATCTTATATCTCTATAGATAGGGCCTTATGGTTTTCAAATGCCTGTATAGCACTGTAATATTTTCACTACATCCCCGTAATATTGAAATCATTTTATAGATAAAGAAACTGAACCTCAAATAAGAAGTTACTTGCTTAAGGTCACATAGCTGTTAAAAGGTTGGACAGTCCAAAGCCAGAATTCTTTGTCCACTCTACTAGAATAATAATTTTGTCAAATGTACTCCAAACTCAAGTAATGCCTGGTAACCTATGTAATAGGTTATTTGGTGTATTTTCAACTCAGCTAGGAACCCCCATCTTTTTTCATGCAGTACCCTGTGCTCTCTTGTGTCACCGCATTTACTACACTGAATTGAAACAATTTATGTGCTGGTCTCCACTATAAGACTGTGAGCTCTCTAAGGGAATGGGATAAAGACTATAACTTATTCATCTTTGTGTTTTCACTTTTGGCATAGTGCCTGGCATGAATTTGGCACTCAAAATAAATGTTTGCTGAATATACAAATTACTGCATCAAATACTATCAAAAAAAGAGTATTTTTTCCCTTGGGGATAGTTTAATTAATCAAATACTGACTTTTTTTTATGTAACGAAGCACTATATGCTAATATGATCCTCTTATTTTGATGCGATGCGTTTATGCTATCCTGGAAGTAAATACATTGGCTGCAGCTGAAATCTATACCACAGATATTAAACATTCAAAATAACTTTTTTTCATTCTTCCTTACCCTTTTTAAAACTCTTATTTTCTTGGTTTGACTTTTAAAGAAGACGATGATGAAAGCATAAAGAAAAATTAAGATTTTTTAATCAGGTATAAAACATACCCTCATAATTCTATTTTGAAATGAGAAGTGAAATGTTATTTTCCCTGACTTTTCTTCCTGTCTGCTATGCCATTGTGCTGAGAATGATATGAAAATACAAATAGAAGAAAAAGATATCATGGTTCTCTCTCTTGAGAGTCATTCAGAGTCAAGTTTATTTATGAATGCCATGAGGTCTCAGATTTGCTTCAAAATAATCTGGGAAGTAGTGGGTGGGGTTATACATTAAACACTGGCTTTGGGGTGATAATTATTCAAGCTGGGTGATAGGTACAAGGTTGAGCTCATTATGCTCTTCTCTTTACAGTTGCTGTGTATGCAATTTCAATAATAAAGAAATTTGCTTAAAAAGGCAAACCGACAATAACTACCTGCCTCTCCTTTCAATACAAGTAATTATTTGTCTAAGGTCTGTATTCTCTGCTAGACTGTATGTTCCATCAGAACAGGGACTAGAACTATCTGGTGGTATATTCCCAATGCCTAGTACAGTGCCAACACAAAGGGCAAGCACACAGAAAATGCTGGGTAAATGAACACAGGGTGTTAATGATACAGCTTCTTGAAAAGCAGAGATGAAACTTTCTTCTGTCTTCTGATTCTCTGATACAATTAGGCTTCAAAGATAGTTCTCTGTACTCCCTTCCTAGGGCTGATTAGAGCCAAGATAATGATCAGCTTCCTATCTGTTAACCTTCCAATTAAAAGCCCCACAGAAAGTTAAGCACTGCTTAGAGAAATTGCATGTGGAGGTAAGTCAGGGCACCTCCTCTGGATAGGACTGCTTTCAGCTCCAGTTAGGGCAATCAACGGGCCCCTGGGAAACACAGGTTCCTATTCCTCACTTCTCTCCTCTGTCTACCATACACAGAAAGGTGCTCTGGGAATGAGGCACGTTTTCCAACCCAAAGGAGAACTGGATTCATTTTGTTTTGCTTAAGATGATCTCACCCAAGCTAAATAAAAGAACGCCAGCCATAAAAAGTAGGGAATTTCAATAGCAGGATTAAAACAGAAACATGCATAAATAATTTACCCTTGAAAAATACATAAGTGAGAACAATACCTGAAAAATGTGTGATGCTCTACACAGACTTTCCATAATTTCTTAGCTGCCCGGTAACTGGGAAGTTTGAACCCGATCGTACTTTCATACTGTTCTTGCTATAAAAACACAAGTAAAGGTATTATACAACATAAAGCATTATTTGACTACAGTGATACAGGACCAGAGAAATATGGTGCTACAGAAGAGGTCATTGAGAAGAAGAACGTTCCTAATCTAAGGACACAAAATATTTGAAATTCTTTCCAACTTACCAAAAGAAATTTACTCACTGAGGGTGGCGTTTTCCACAACAAGGAAGGCAGGGAATGCATCTTATATTATTTATGCATTTTATTTTGTTCAGAAACACACACACACACACACACACACACACACACACACACACACACATTCCGCTCCCCTCCCCCCACATTAAATGTAAGATTGTTAAGTGATGGACTCTTATTCACTGTTCCTAGAACCTGGCAGAAAGAAAGCCTTCAATAAATATCTGTAGACTGAATGACTCTTGGATTTGAAACTCTTTGCGCTAAGACATTGACTGCTCTGTGCTAGGCACAGGTAAATAATTATGATACTAATAAACATTTCAATGATAATCCTTATGAGATTTTTAAGGCTGCACATCCAGTATTTTCATGCTCAAATAATGAGCCATTTCACCAGCAGATGGAGATATAGACACAAAAAACCCCCGCATTGCCGCAGTATGATGCTTTCCTGTTTAGACCTTTCATAGCGTCATCTCATTTGATCTTCAAATCAACCCTGGCAGAGGAGGCATTATCCCCCTTGAATGATGAAGAAGCTGAGACTTAGATTTGTCCAGGGTCTTTTACTTAGTAGGTGGCAGGGTAGGAGCTAGATGTTTTTTAAAAAATTTAATTCCTTCTTAAACCATTCTCCACTATACGGTGACAGCTCTTTAATATAAAAGTTAAATTTAGAGAGCATTAGTATATCCTGAAACTTGCCCACCAACTAGTAACTGAATTACCTGGTACAAAGTTGAACATACAACTCTATTAAAAATCTAGAACTTGACCCTAGAATACATTCCCAGTAACTAGTAGAAGCTACGCATACAAATAAATTCTAAGAGGTAAGGGATTGGTAGTACAAAACATGAATAACTGAATCCCACTACTAAAAAATTTCATGCTACTTAATTTAAAAATAATTTCTATCAAGATCTTACCTGGAATAAACAAGGAACAAGTTTATCAATCCAAGTTTCACTTGTGGCCATGGTATATTTACTTACATAAAGAGAAATGCCCGGAAAACCAGCAGGAAGTAAGACAACGAGCATTACAGCACTGAGTAATTTAGAAAACAAACCATCAGCTCCTCCATAGTTAGCTATGGAGAGAACTCTCAGATGACATAACAATGAAAACAGGAATGAAGAGGTGTTTTAGATGTGGTCTGTGTTTGATTCAGGAGGAAAGAAACACAAATTCTGTACCTCTCCAGGCCGAATCTTGATGAAAAAGCTGCTACGTTTGTAAGAAATCTTCAGCACTTTGGGCCAAGGAAAGCGGTTAATTCTCAGCTTATCTTTGTAAACCAGAAGGCCACTGGAGCAGACGCCTAGGATGATATCCACTCCTTCCAAGTCCTGAAAAAGAAAAGTGGTAGCATTTCAGTCTTGAGCAAAGGGCTCAACACACTGTTGACTATTATTAAATAATCTGAAGATAACAACCAAATACAGTTACAAAGCATACAATGAAAAATAAAGCTTAACCTAACAAGCATAACCCATGGGAATATTTGATCTATGTAAAAATGTCATTACTATAACACATTTTTTAAAAAATCAATGTTATTACCTATCACAAATGTCTTTAAAATGTCCAAATCAGACTCAATAATCCTATTTCTGTCATCTGTTCCAAGAAAATAATTCAAATCACAGAAAAAGCTTTATACATGACAATGTTCAGAATGCTATAAGAGTGAAAAACTGGATATAACTGAAGTATCTAAGCATCAGGGTTAGATTATTGCCCATCCTTTGGTGAAACACAATGTGGCCATTAAAACAGTTAGTTACATAGAATTTAGGAGATAAATGAAAAAATAATTATGTTGTATTGTCATATTAAGAGAAAAAAAACAGAATAAGGCTACACATACAATTTATGCCAGCAATATAAAATATATACATAGAAGAAAGATGAATATACCAAAATGTTGTAATAATGGAATTCCTTAGGTGGTACAATTATGAACAATTTTTCACTTTAGTTTTTTTATACTTTCCAATTATAATAAACATGTATTTTCTTTCTTTTTTTTTTAAAAAAAGATTTTGTTGGGGAATTAGGGGAGGGAACAGCATTGGGGAATCAGGGAAGAAAGTTGCTGTCGTTTTGTTCTTCAGTCTAGTTGTGGAGGACGTTGCTTCACTGGCCCAAGTTGGCACCATCATTGCGCTCTTCCCAGGCGAGGCAGATCAGTCACCGGCTTCTGGACGGCCGCTCACAGCGGCTGCTGGCTGCTGGCTACATACGGTAGCCCATGGCAACCCACTGCCACAGTAGCTGCAGCCTACGCCGTCGCCAGCGACTCATGGCAGCCCAGCTCCAAGTTGAGCTGTTGTTCAGCATCTTTGCTGTGGAGGGCAGTGTCACTGGCCCTCATATGTGGGATCCGAACCGGGGCCCTCTGGCGTCCCAAGCCAGAGCTTATCAATCGCGCCACTCGGCCGGCCCTGTATTTTCTTTTTAAGAAAAGATTTAAATATCACAAAACTAATACATGTATGTAAAAAATTCAAACAGTACAGAAATGTGTGAAATAAAAGTAAAATTCTACCCCTTCCTCCTATACTCAACAGTAACTGGTAATAATTTGATAATTTGCGGGATTATCATCCTATATTCTAGGCACATACAAATATGTTTGGATAATACATACATACATATTACTAAGAATAATTAGATTATTACATAGTTTTATACTATGTAATAATATAGTATACACACACACACACACTCACCTTTATAATCAGGAAAACTAGAAAAAATTATAATCTACTCCTTGAGGGTGGAAACTGTGTCTTAATCATATCTGTATCCCCCCAAATACTGTCTGTTATTGACAACATGCTTAATAAATGTTTACACTGAGTTCGTTATCTGCCCACATTATTATTCATAATTTATTATGACAAATATCAGTAAACTCTTTGCTTCTGATTTATAACAATTTTGATTCATTTTAGTTGATAAATTAAGGAATTTCAAGGTATATTGTAACAACATACATTAGGCTTAAACCTTCAACCACATACATCAATTATTTCATTCATCATTAGTGACTCTGAGGGAACATTTGCTTTTCTCTGTGCAAGAAACGTGGACACGCACACATCTTACCCACTGAAGGAATCAACTGCCACGAGAAGCAATATAGCCACCACCACTACCTCTCAAAACCACTGTGAAATGTCACTGGGCTTGCACCTCATCTGCCTGCACAACACCCCTCCCATAAAATGAAGCCTCTGCATCTTCCAAAAAGGCTTTCCTTAATAATCCAAAAAGAGATGCTAATTTACTTTTATCGTGGTTGTCTGTATATGAAAATTCTAGTAAGTATTTATGTTTTCATTTTGGTCTCCCAGTTCGAAAATACTCAAACCTGTCAGTTTCATAGTCAGTAAATAATTACTATGGTAGCTCCGATAGCTACATGTCCTATACATGTATGTTTAAGTCAGCAGACCACATGACTTTCTGGAGGCTGGGGCTTAGGGCAATGTATACTACCAAACATCATACACAATTATAATTCTTTTTGTTTAAATGATAGCGTGGTCATCCCTCCAAAAATCATGATAAGTAAAGGAGTTAACTTTATTGTGATGTAAACTATATAATTGCTATATAATTATAATGTTAAGTATATTAAATTATAAATATTATCCTGAGACAAGAAGCGATAGTAAGGTAAAATAAAGCCATATTTACATGCCTCTTAGAGAACTTTTTTTTTTTTTTTTAAGCTGAGCCATCCTGCCATCTGTTGGCAGCTCAGCAGCAGCTCAGCTCGGGCTGGGAATTGAACTGGCAACCATGTTGCTCAGAGCTCACACTCTTGAGCAAGCTCTTAACCAACTGAGCCACTCGGCCGGCCCTTGGAGAGCATTTTTAAAATTAAATATATGTTAATCATCTGTGCCTGCAATGCAAGGAAAATAAATGTCACCTGAGTTCATCTCTACAGGTGATTACTTATTTAGATAAGTAATCAAAACCCAGAGTTATATGTTTCTTGACTACGTCTTTTCCCAAAATGAGTATAGAGAAACATATTAGTGCCTACAGGTGTATATACAATCACAATTGAGAAGCAGAAATTATATACGGCTCCAATTCAATGACTACCCAACTGAGAATTTCCCAGAAAATGCCCTCTTAAGTTCTTAAAGCCTGGAGATACAACTGTATCTCTCAATTATATGTTTTGGAGAAAAAATTTGCTTTACACATTTGGGAAAGGAATATACTCCCTGACTCCTTCATCCATTCCTGATAATTACTGAATCAACACCAGCCTCCAACATGAATTGAGGCTCAAAACCAAACAATTTCAGTTCTGGAAATATACCTGATCTGATGAGATCTTCCACTATCTACTTTAGAGATTCATAGGTTATACAGATTCAACTTACAGTGCCCAACTCCCCAAAAATCCAGAGCAACATCTTAAGACAAACCACTAACATGCAATGAAATTTTAATAGAATCAATGTAACTTAAATAAGGAAGAGACTTCAGATGTCAGATGTTCAGGTTGGGAGAAGCCTAAAAGGTCATGTTAGTGCAATCAACTGCCAGATGTTTGAATGTTCTTTTCTAAATTCCTCCCAAGTGACTAGACTGCCTATCCTGGAATACCTCTAGGGATAGGGCGCTTGCTACCTTATGTACAGGTAGCCCATCCCATCTTTGAATAGCTCTGGCTGTTAGATAATGTGTCAAACTGAGCTGAACGAAGTAATTCCCTGTAGTTTCCATTGTACTGGCTCTAGTTTTATATTTTGGAGTCATAGTAAAATCTCTCCTTCACATATTACTCCTTTAAGTACACTAAGATAGATAGTATATCTCCCCTAACTTTCTCTTTTGTAGGCTAAGTGTACCTATTGCTTTGCTTGTGTCTCATTGGACATGGTTTTGAGTCCCCTCTTCATGCATCCTAGTTAAGTTCCTCTAAATAAACCTCAGATCATCCCTTTAGTCCTTTCCTCACAAACCCCTCAACCTCCCTAGCCATTTCAGCGGCTGACAATGAGAGAAGTCAAGCGATTTCCCTTAGGTATTCATTCTGTTAGGTTGTATTAGACAGAAAAATGAGCTACTGTGGTTCATGCCACGTGCCCTAAGAATCACCTGGAGAGTTTGGTTAAGCAGATTGCTGGGCTCCACCCACAAAGTTTCTGATTCAGTAATTCTGGGATGGGGACTGAAATGTGCATTACTCACCAGTTTCCAGATGATGCTAAATGCTGGTTCAGAGGCCATATATAAGAACCACTGCCTTAGGCCAATGGTTCTCAGATTCAAGCATGAAGGAGAATCGTTTGGAATTTCACCAAATCTAGAGACTTAGCCTCTCCTCCAGAGCAATCCAGCAAATCTGGGAGAAGCTCGAGAACCTGCGTATTTAATAAACCCCTGAGGTGATTCTGATAGAGGTGATGGTGGCTGTGAAACAGACATTGCTGCTACTCCATATTTTCCAATGTATCTGCATTTTAGGAAAAGTTCTTTTGCTCTAGATGCTATATCTTTTGATTTTTATAGTGACTTGAATGTGAAACTTCATTCTGATGAAATTGTAAAGGGGCAATTCAGTGTATACACCTGATACAATTGATTGATTCAATGGATAGACTTAAAATTCTAATGAGCTCCTATCTCTTTTGAATGTCTTAAAATAAAGGTTGGTGAGAAGTATTATATGACACAGGTATGATACATGCATATTAATAAAGGCTAAAGTTATCATTACCTTTGCTTTATGAAGGTCAACACCATACATAGACAACTTTTTGGCATTCTCAAGAAATTCCAGGTCAGCTTGAGCTGGAGTCATGGACCTTTGATAGAATAAAAATTTAAAACTCTTTCAGTGTCACAGTCTCAACATTTACAACAATAACATTTGTATATTAATTGTGCTTTATATAAACATATATATACCAATATATATGTAGACATAGTTCATAGTCCTGAAAGAATATTATGAAAGAGAGCTCTTACCACACTTCCTGTGTCTAAATAATTGAAATATGCCTTAAAAAAAAAAAAAGATCTTGGAGAAACAAAAAGTCCGCCAAAATGCTATCAGAAAAAAAAAGTTTAAAAAAAATCCTACTAACAAATTTCCTTAAAGCGGCCTCATCCACCATCAGTTCTGACCCTCCCCCTCCTCAGCCTTTTTCTCCAACACACACAAACTCCTCCCACTAATTTTTCTTGCCAAGGGGGTGACCAAATTCAATCCTCTGAGGGCATGGTACAATTTACAATATCCTCTTAGCTGCCTTTTGCTCTCCATACCCCTGAATTATTATGGAAATTAAACAAGAGGGCAGCTGAAGTTACTTAACTGGAGACTCTTAATGGGGGCAGGCTTGATGAAAAGAAAATTTCTGGTAACAGATGGTGTTCCTGCCCACTGATCTAAACAAAATAAATTGGTTAATAGAAGCATGTTGATAATGAGGCTTTCTCTGTTATTAAGATGTCTTCATTACTAGGCATATAATGAATTCGATTTGTTTGAAAACAATCCGTCTCACTGTCTAAACACTCACTGTGATGGCCTTTCCTTGTCCTTTACAACTTTCCTCTCTTTTGAAAAGTGCCTATGAGCAGTTCTGTTAGCTTTGAAGAGAAAGATCTAGTGCTGCACAATTCAGACCAATCAAATATAACTTCACTGTAACAATAATGCACCCATACCCCCAAAGAAAAACCACGGAGATGCCTGTTTCCCATAAGACTCCTTCAAGCTATACAAAGCAGCAGTGGCCTGTTCATTTAACAGGAGAAAAAAGTCTCTTCCAAACCCATCTGTCTTTATCCTCATTAAAAAGAACAAAGGGTTTCTTGGAACCGGAAAAAAAAAGAAAAAAAAAACTTCAGCTGACGGCAGGTTTGTTAATGTCTCAGCCTCCCTGAATAAACTTTTCATAAAGCGCTAAACAATCACACCTGAATCCTATGTATTACTAGATTCAAAATTAAACACACACACAAAAAGGAGAATGAGAAAATTAACACATTTGCAAGTCTGTATATTCAAGTCATTAAAAACATCTCAGGAAAGTTTTGTAGTGTTTTCTTTCCCCTATACAAGTTATATATTTTACACTTAAGGTTACTCCCAGTCATTTTTTGTTGTTGTTGTAACTATTATCAATTACTTGAATTGAAGCTGGAATGAAGCTTGAAGATTACAGAGTCCAACACTTTCATTTTGCTGATGAAGAAATAGGCCCCGAGGGATCACATGGTCATGGTCATGGGCAAGTTATGACTCCTCCTTGTTTAAGGCACAGGACTCAAGTCACATCATATGACGGTTCCTGCACTAAAGAGTGGTGGCCTGGTATCTCCCTCAATATCCCAACTATAAAGTAAGAATCATAATAATACCTACTTTCAGAGACTAGGATAGGCCATGACTTTTATGTCTTTGCTGAATGAAAAAATGTGACTAGTAGAATAAAATGAGGTAATGGGTGTGAAACTGCTTTGTAAAATATAAACGTTTATTAGTATTGCAACCTTGGGTTTCTGATGGTACAGTGGTCTTATGCAGCTCACAAAAGAGAAATAGTTTTGATCACTTGAATTTGAAGACAGATTTTAAAACGTTAAATCATGATAAAATCTTCCCTATATTCACTCTTCCAACTCTAAGGAACATTAATGGGGGGCTCAATCAGTTTGAATACAAATTTAAATTTCAACTAAGTGGTTAGATGCTTTTCTAAATAAGCATGCTTTAAAACTGTATTATGGGAGCTGGCCGAGTGGCTCAGTTGGTTAAGAGCGCGAGCTCTGAGCAACAGGATCACTGGTTCATTCCCACATAGGCTAGTGAGCTGCAGCTGAGCTGCCAACAGGTGGCAGGATGGCTCAGCTGGTGAGAGCATGTGCTCCTAACAAGGTTGCCAGTTCGACTCCCGTATGGGATGGTGGGCTACATCCACCTGCAGCTAAGATTGAACACGGCACCTTGAGCTGAGCAGCCGTAAGCTGCCAACCGGCGACCGGATGGCGACTGGACTTGGAGCTGAGCTAGCTGTGCCCTCCACAACTAAGACTGAAGGACAACTTGGCTGTCCCCCTTCCCCAATTCCACAATACTGTTCCCTTTCTCCAATTCCCCAATAAAATCTTAAAAAACAAACAAAACCCCCCCCAAGAAAACCACTGTATTATATAGGCAGATAGTAAGAAGAGATCTTTAACTTTAAAACTATGACTTTCCTTATTAGTTGACAATAATATTTATTTTGAGGTTTAGCTGATACTTTACTTTTTTAATTATTCTTTTCAGTTATGGTTGACATTCAATATTATTTTATATTGGTTTCAGGTATACAGCATAGTGGTTATTAGATACTTATATAACTTATGCCGTGATCCCCCAATTAGTCTAGGACTTACCTGGCACTGTATATAGTCATTGCAACATTATTGACTATATTCTCTATGTTGTACTTTACATAACCTCAATATAACTGTCAAAACCAGGCAATAAATATTAATACATTACTATCATCTAATAATATTCAGCCTCATTCAAGTTTAGCCAATTGTTTCAAAAATGTTCTGAATAGCAGAAGGATCCATTTTAGCATCACACGTTTCATTTAGTTCATGTCTCTGTAGACTTCTTCAGTCTGGAACAGTTCCTTAATCTTTGCTTACTTTCATAATCTTGACCTTTGGAAGATTATAGGCTACTCTACAGGATGCCCTCAATTTGGGCCTGTCTGATGTTTCTCCATGAGTTGATTCAGATTATGCATCTTTGACAGGAATATCCCAGAAATGACCCCGTGTTCTCACTGCCCCCTATCAGGCAGTACATAGTTCCAATTTGTCCCTTCATGGATGATGCTCATTTTGATCACTGATGTCTGCCAGGCTTCTCCTCTGTGAAATTCCTCTTTATCTCTTTGTAATTAATAAGTATTTTGTAGGAATGTATTTTGAAACATTTTTCCCCTTATTTTTTTTATTTAAATTTACTGAGGTAACATTGGTTTGAAATCTTTTGAATATCCTGTTCTTTATCAAACTTTCAATGTACTCATTTATGGATATCAGTATGGACTCGTGGACTCTCATTTTATTCAATGCAATATAATCAATTCTTCTCCTTATTTATTTTGTATTTAAGTTGTCCCAGATTTGGTCAGTGGGAGCCTCTCCAAGCTGGATTCTGTCCTTCTGACCAGTTCCCATCATTTTTTGAGCACCTCATTTTAGTTTCTCTCTCCATAATTTGCATCTCCTTTATTGACAGCGAGAAACCTGGCTCCTATTACCCCTTAATACATTGACTAATTTGATCAGCCTCCTGTGTATAACCAATCTCCCATCACTACCACTGACTCCTCCCCCATGTGGATGCCCTTTTCTCCAACTTGGACTCTGAATTCCCCATGCTGGGCTACTCCCACACAGGGATGTCCTCCTTACCTCGCTCAGGTTCTGATGCCTGGTGTTAGGCCACCCCTTCTATGGGCATCTTCACCCCACTTAGGCTTCAACACCATGTATCAGTTACCACCCACATAGATGACCTTAACTGTGTACAGGGCTTACCCCGTGTGGATGCCCTTCTCACTGCCTCTGATAACCACCACCACGTGCGCACACATGGCTACCCTGTTCATCCTCTTTGAGCCTTGACTTGCCGTGCCAGGCTGCTCCCCCCACCCGTGAACACTCTCCCCACCCTGCTTAGGCCCCAATAACCCTGGCCATACTGCCTTTCTGCATGGGTGACTACCTTGCTCTACCCTACCTAATGGCTTTGAAGAAAATCATGTCTCTGATTATAAAAATCATATATATTCATTGTATAAAATTTGGAAAATATCATTAACAGCACAGAAAAAAAAGAAAAAGAAAATTTCCTATAATCCCACCACCTACATACATCTGTGCATGTAAGTATAACAACTATATTTTATAAATGGAATATCACATATTAAACTTAAATTATTTTCAACTTCGAATTTTAAAGCTCATGGTTTTTCCTAAGTTTTCCAAAACTCTTGAAAGTAATAAATTATCTTGGAAGAGATTAGATACCTCGAAACCATTAAGAGTACAGTCTTGAATTTATTAAGTATCACCTAATAATTTACTACCTGAAAGTACTGTAGCTTACAGAAGAACCTAACCAGTGAGCTTTGGCACCAGGTAACTCTTGCTCATTAACAAAGAAAGTTACAACAAAGTTTCCCTGTATTTATTTTGAGCAAGTGGGGTCAGGATATAGAGTCATTCAGTAAGTTCCAGTGTTATGTGACAGCCTTTTAATAATGTTTGTTGCATCTCTTAACTAAGGATTGTGATTTCAAATAATTAGGGGGACAGCTGACACATTTATATACGTTCCTAGGACCCATAAATGGAGGGCAATTAATTCTAAAGCTTGATTTGCTAGTGTAAATTTAAAGTGTTAATTATAGCTTCAAAGTCTCTGTCTGGGCAAAGGGCCACTATGCAGGGTTCCATGTATGGAGGCTGTCTTCTATTTATCTGAGGAGCAGGGTGGTATTTGCTTGTACTTTTCAATCCATAGTAAAATGCTTCTGCCTAAGCAGAACTTCTTTTGGATTGGTTAAAACGCCATGTTGTCGGGCATAATTAAAACTTCCATTTGGCAGGCCGGCCGAGTGGCACAATGGTTAAGAACTGGCGTGGGATGCCGGAGGGCCCCGGTTCAGATCCCACATATGAGGGCCAGTGACACTGCCCTCTACAGCTAAGATGCTGAACAACAGCTCAACCTGGAGCTGGGCTGCCG